CATTGTTAAAGTTATATAAAATATAGGACAAAATAAGAGTCCTACACAGGATACTAATAGTTAGGTTCTTGGTTTCTTTATATACATACATACATACATACATTTTAAAATGGAATAAATCTTGTTAAAATCACATTTCCTAAGGCTTCTTGTGCATGTTCTAACATAGATTTTATTGCAGAATTTGCACATTTTCTGTTGATACTGATGTAATGTAAGTCTTTAGGATTCTGTGGAATTTAAGTAACTCACTATGTATAAGAAAGAGATCCAGATTACTATTAAAAAAATGTTTGGGTCTGGTATATTTCCTTTACAGATATTTTAGATAACATTATGTGTATGTAAGATTTCTGAATTATATTGTAAGAAACATGCAGTTATGATTGCATTTATATTTTTTTAAGAATTCTTCACTTGAAAACCGGATTCAAGATTTAGAACAGCTCTTAGAGCAAGAGCGAGAATGGCATAATAGTGCTTATCGAGCTAAAGAAGATGAACTTAATCGCTTGAAACAGCAAGTTCATCTCTATATTAAAGAATATCAAGATCTTCTTGACACTAAAGTTGCCCTAGATCTAGAACTGGCAGCTTATCGTAAGCTTTTGGAGGGTGAAGAAAGTCGGTATGTACCTTATTTTTAAAATTTTATAAATGTATGTTATGGATGCAACATATTTAAAATTTTTTTTTAATCGTAAAAAAAAAACATCCAACTTTGTATGAGAATATGATGATCTTGTATACAATAGCACTATCAAACAATGCACACAAACTCTAGAACAAAAACACAAATATTGGTTTGTGACCACTGATTTTTTTATGGCTTATATGTACAATAATACATTTAGTAGTTTATGAGTGTAACTGTACATGGTTAGAGTAACTACTCAAATTTTATATTTACTTTTAAGTCTTAAATTTTAGCTTATGACTTTGATTACTTTAATTTTTCTTTGTCGTGCTTTAGTATTGGTACTACAGAAAGATACTGCTGTATTAATAATTATATCATTTATATAATAATATAACTTATATCATTGCATAAACACTATATGTACTTTGTAATGAATTTCAATCTTTACTTAGTCACATCTGCCCATCATGATAGGTAATTTTTATTTTAAGGAATCCAGTTCAGTTAGTGATGGATTGTATATATGCTATGGTTAAAAACACTTTGCTTCATAACATTAGAAAAAATACTTTTATGGCTTTAAAGCCTTTTACTCTCTTGCTGAAATATTTTTAAGACCTTTTAAAAGTCGTTGGATAGTTAGCTTTGCCATGACATATGTACTTTTCACGTTTTAGGGTTGTGGTGATCTATGTACCATCTTCCATTACTATCAGACTCACTCAGAGAATAACTTTGCAGATATATCTAATCAATCAATAATTGATTGTTTTCATTAAAGGTGATATAAAATACATTATTTGTTTAAAGATAATTTGATTTGTAATAAGGGATTGCAGAAAACATTTGGTAGGTGGTACTACTACCATTAGTATTTTCTGATTGTTAATTTGGACATTTCTTTGATCAGTCTTGTAACTTGAGAAAGAAACCTTCAGTGTTTACTGTGCTATGTCAGGATTGGATTATTCTATATCAACAATGAAAAAGCTTAAGACAAAGTTTATAAAAAGGGGAGCTTAGATCAGTGAATGTAAAGTAGGCTTGTAGAAAGGTGGGTTGTCTTTACAAATGGAGTTTGAATTGTGTCTTGACATGCATTAGTTAGATGCTACTGAGCTAGAGTACAAGTTATGATTTAGTGTGAAGTTGCACAGAAGCTAGACCTGGATTTTCAAGAACATTTTAAGTTACATTGTATTAAAGATCAAGAATGTTTAATATACCCAAAAACTAGTTTTTGTACTATATAATTAAAAAATGCATCAAGTTAGACTGTATTTTGATGGATGTTAAATGGAAATACCATGATATATCCAGGTGAACAGGTAAAACTGAATTTACTTGAAAACAATTACTTGTCAGTTTTATCAGAATTATTTTGTCCATTCCAAGACATTAGTTCATATTTGCTGAGAAACTATCAGCTAGTATTCTCAAGTCTTTGTTTCTTATGTGATTTTCCTTCTCCTTCCCTGATTTTATTTGTATAGTCTCTTGTTTCTACTCTCTTCTTTTTTCTTATCTCATAGTATGTGATGTTAACAGCTACAATTTGGATAGAGCAAATT